GCTTTGAAATAATTCAAGGAGTTTTGAATCCTGGTTCATCAGATGGGGTTAGTGATTGTTATTATTAATAATAATAATGATAATAATATTTATTTCATATGTGAGAGATACAGATACAAGTTATTATAAGTTGAATTCAATTCAATGGGTTTTGAATCCTGGTTCATCAGATGGGGTTAAGGGTTGTTATTATAGGTTTGACTCTGATGAAATATCATGGTGAATTTATATTGTATACATATATTTTTTCTTAGATTTTATATCACAATAAATAGGATTTACGAAATGATTTTGTATGCTGTACAAATGTTTTTCTTTTCTCTACGAGAACGCATGAAAAGTGCGAAAGTGGTTTGGCAACCGCTGAATGCTTGGAGGAACAGTATTCTGAGCTCTATCAGTTTCTGGTTGTAAACATCTTTTTTTCGAAGGGTGCTTCCTTTCTTTGGCTTCAAGAAGCATAAAATATGGATGGCCAAATTGTTCTAATAACTCGTATTCTGGAGTCATATCACAATGCAGTTGTAGAAAACAAGGATTAGGTTATTTGAATATCATAAAAAGCAGTTATCAACTTGTTTTGCTATTACAATGAACACTGCTTCCGCAGTGTAGAAGCAGTGTGGGTTATGGCATGGCACTTTATTACTCTATACTATTATTTTGATTACGCCCAGTGGCCTCGCATTTCTTGTGGCGAGGGGGCGCCAAACCAAGCGCAGTTCTTCAGTTCAATTTCAAGAGAGCAATGCCCCCCCCCCCCCTGACTTTCTACAAAAAGATTATTCCACTCACATACTTCCTGTAACCACATTATACAGGGTGTCCGGAAATTATGCGCAAAAAACCAAAGGAGTGATAAGTTTCAACACAGTGTTTGTTGAAAACTATGCATTTCCGGACCCACGTACATATACAATGAATTTCTTATTTCATCATGTAGAATCACCACCTTGATTTTTTGCGCATAATTTCCGGACACCCTGTATACATCAGTATTATATCAGTACTTGAAATAGCAAAAAAATCACTTATATTATTTAAAAATACATAAAATATACCAGGATATAAGGAAGCCATTTTTCGAAATTGTAAAAATCATGATATAGATTGATTCTTAACCTGTTTCCTGTTATGAGTGGTGGTTGTTGATTCGGATAGGACAAAAAATTGGAGTGAATCATCTCTGAATTATTTTGGTAAATTGAACAAATGAGATCTACCTGCTAGGGGTAACCTAAATACACTACCTAAAATAGATTTTACTTGCTTTTGCAATAGTTCCAATTTTCAGATCACTTTATATAGGTATCAATTGTAACAAACAGAGAACATGTAACTGAATTATTTATAATGCAATAATGTGATGCTGTTGTTGTCAGTCTTGAAGAAATCTAATTTTCAATTTGTAGGCATTTGAACCGGTGTGAAGCAAGCAAGACGTCCGCGCCAGCAAGAAAAAAGATCGCGAAAAGCATAGAATGTATTCTAAATTAGTGCAGAAGTGATTTTTCATCAGAAAAAATGCCGAACTGTTACTCTAGATAACGAATAGGCATTATTGAAAGTTCGGAATTTCAATAAGGAAGAAAATCATTTTCATTTTTCATTGCTGTGTAGAAATTTTATTTTGAAAAAGGAAAAATGTCTTGCTATGGATTTTTTCTTGTCCAAAACACGTAACTTAGACAAAAGAAGAGATTCATCATGTCTACTGATTTTGTTGCACTTATTTCACCACTATATCACCCCGATAATGGCAAAATCAGAAATCTGTCATGTTCATGAAGGAAAAATATCTTGCTATGGATTTTTTTTTGTCGAAAAACACGTAACTTAGACAACAGAAGAGATTCATCATGTCTACTGATTTTGTGCATTCATTTCACCTCTATTTCACCTCGATAATGACTAAAAAATCAGAAATCTGTCAGGTTTATAAAGAAAAAATGTCTTGCTATGGATTTATTTTGTCAAAAAACAGTTAACGTGAAATAGGGGTGAAATGGATGCGACAAAATCAGTGGACATCATGGATCTCTTCTTTCGTCTACGTTACTTGTTTTTTGATGAAAAAAATTCATAGCAAGACATTTTTTCTTTTTGACAATGACAAATTTCTGCCATTATCGGGGTGAAATAGGTGTGAAATAGATGCGACAAAATCAGTAGACATGATGAATCTCTTCATTCGTCTACGTTACGTGTTTTTTGATAAAAAAATACATAGCAAGAAATTTTTTCTTCACAAAAATGACAGATTTCTGAGTTTTTAGACATTATCGGAGAGAAATAGGGGTGAAATGGATGCGAAAAATTAGAAAACATGATGAATCTCTTCTTCCATGTACGTTTCGTGATTTTTGAGGAAAAGAATCCATACCAAGACATTTTAAAATTTTCAAAATGACAGATTTCTGATTTTTTAGACAATATCGGAGTGAAATAGAGGTGAAATGGATGAAACAAAATCAGTGGACATAATATCTTTCCTTTCGTCTACGTTACGTGTTTTTCGACGGAAAAAATCCATAGCAAGACATTTTTTCTTTTATCATTATCGGGGTGAAATAGGGGTGTAATAGATGCGACAAAATCGGTAGACATGATGATTCTCTTCTTTCGTCTACGTTACGTGATTTTCGACGAAAAAAATCCATAGCAAGACCTTTTTTCATTTTCAAAATGACAGATTTCTGATTTTTTAGACATTATCGGGGTGAAATAGGGGTGAAATGGATGCGACAAAATCAACAGATATGATGAATCTCTTTATTCGTCTTCGTTACGTGTTTTTTGACAGAAAAAATTGCATAGCAAGACCTTTTTTCATTTTCAAATGATAGATTTATAACTTTTTAGTCATTATCGGGGTGGAATAAGGGTGAAATGAATGCGACCAAATTATGATGAATCTCTTCTTTCGTCTACGTTACGTGTTTTTTGACAAAAAAAAACCATAGCAAGACATTTTTTCTTTCACAAAATAACAGATTTTTACACATCAATGAAAAATGAAAATTATTTTCTTCCTGATTGAAATTCCGAACCTGATGAAAAATCACTTCTGCACTGATTTAGAATAAATTCCTAATATTCCGCGTATTCATTTTGACCTTTTTCTTGCTGGCGCGGACGTCTTGCTGGTTTCACACCGGTGGCATTTGACCTTGAATCCCAATAAAACTCTCGCATGCGGCGCATTTTTACCGTACAAAATTTCAGCCTGAATGTCTAGACCTATGCCTGATATTATTGAAATGGAGTTAATGTTGTCACTCTAGAATAAATCTAATTTTCAATTTGAACGCATTTGACCTTGAACTGATTCATAGAAAAAAACTGCCATCCACATGTATTTTAAAAAAGTTATGATTTTTTTTTGGAAATTAAAAAGGGGCTGGCGGGGTTAATTCTTGCCCGACAAATTATTGTCAGATATACACATTATCAAGTACCATCAAAGAAATACATTCCTAGAAAAAAAAAACTCTCATCCACATGTATTTTGAAAAAGTTATGATTTTTTTTGAAACTCCAAAAAAGGGGGCTTGTGGGGTTAATTTTTGCGGGACAAATTATTGTGAGATATATACATCATCAATTACCATCAGAGGAACAAATTCATAGAAAAAAAAAACTCCCATCCAAGTGTATTTTGAAAAATTTATGATTTTTTTTTTGGAAATTCCAAAAAAGGGGGCTCCTGGGGTTAATTCTTGCCCGACAAAATATTGAGAGATATACAGATTATTAAGGACCCATAGAGGAATACATTGGTGGAAAATAGTTTCATCCAGGGACATATTTTGGAGGTTTTTGTGGCTGGTTCCACAATGAAATGTAATTATTATATTCTGAAAAAAAAAATCAGCAATTCTTTTCTTGTGATATTTTGTCATTAACACCAAGTTCCAAAAGCTTTAGTATCTTGAGGTGCCAAATGAAAAGAAAAATCATCTGATTTGAGACTTTGCTCTATCACTCTTCATATTTATCTGATGTACTTCCAAACAACTTGCTTTCAATGAATTCATGATCATAGATCATAATCTCTAGCTGAATGATTTTCCAGTAATGTTCAGATAAAAGAATACTCCATGACATACTTACTTGAAAGGTGCATTGCAAGTTTTGTTGAATTGTTTTCTGAGGAATTCAACTTACAAAGCAAAAATAGGTACAAGAAAAACAACATAATTTAGGTCCTGTGGTTGAAGTAACATCAGTAGGAACATTAGGTACTATCAAATTATTACTGTAATAACAAGGGCAGCTTGGGAGATTGCAGGATTATAATTTTTTTGCAAAAAATTTCAACCTTTCAGCCATAATAACTAATTTATGAGTAGTTAGTTAGATTGTTTTAGTTCATTTAGTATTACAGGAGAACCAAGTACTACTTACTGACTATTATCAATTTTTATAAAACAACTAAATAATTGGGAAGTTGAACAGTGGTGAAAGGAATACTATTATCAATTACAAGTACAAGGTACTTCATCATAATTAGGTACCTAGTAGAATTGATGGTGGATTCATGCACAACTTAGCTCAGTCCCAACTTAAGAAGAATCAGAGGGTGATTGATGAATTCAGAGGTGATTGATCAATTTGGAGTTCAAATTTGAAATTAAACCATTATCGCTCATTATTCATATGGTAGGAAAGAACTGTATGAATTCACCATGAGTGAGAAACTGCATAAATGTACTTTCAAGTTGTTCCCATAATACACCTAAAATTTATATCTAAGTCACATTGCAAGAACAGTTTTTTTGTTAACTTTAGCGCACTCAAGGATCTGATGGAAAACATACCTGTAAGCAACAGATTACATATAATGTACCCTCCCCATTCCTCTTATCATCAATTGGTTTTGGGTAAAGAGAAATACTAAAGTCAATATTTTCTTCAAGTTTATATAATTATTATTTTCATTATGCATGCAGCATATGTCTTCATTGAAAAGGAAGATAATATTGAAGCAGAAAATTTACCTGAGATCAGAAAACCGCCAATATACTACCGATATCTCACTTGGGGTAGATCAGTCTAGAACGTTGAAAAATATGCTTGAAATTGCATACACAGGATTGAATACCAACTCATTACAACACCAGCTCACCAAAATGTCATGAATCTGGGAATTTTATAAAATTTTACACATTTCTTCAATCAACTAGATGCTAAAGACGCTTATAAAATAACAGTTAACACCAAACAGGCAAACAGCAAACTCCATTAACGGATGACAACTATGACATTTATGGCAAACGACATGTATTGTTTGTCACTTTCCTGTCAGTGTATCAGTGAAAGTCTACACAGAACACAGGTGAAAAATTTAAAAAATCTTGGATCATTAAATTAAATATAGGTAGCGCGACAGTGACACTTTTGAATGAATGGTTCGAAAGATTTAGGCCAATGACGGCTACGGACTGTCAGACCAAGGCTGTCAGACAGTCTAGATCTGTAGCCGTCATTGTTTAGGCAGGCACTTCTTTCCTAATTCAACTGTCAAAGTCATCTTGGGGACTTTGACTTTGATTCATTGATTGTCTTGAAAAAAATAAAAATAAATAGAAGTGCCATTATGTTGTGTTGTAATGTCTGAATTCTTGTTCATTTCAGTTTTTACTAACTGGATACTAGAATCACGAATATTTTCAGCAAATACTCCTATTCAAATTTACTGCTGAGATCTCCAAGCTTACATCTCTGAAGGCCTACAAAGGTTATTATTATCAAATTGGCAGGTCATCCTTTGTTATCATTTTCAATGGTTCCTCTTTCAGGTCTTTAACATTTGATTATGATTCGACATCTTCTAATCATGTCAGGATTGAGCTCTAGTTGCAGTAGGGACTGCTCAGGACGTGGTGAATGCTACAATGGCACATGTTTATGTGACATACGTTTCACTGGGGAATTGTGTGATGGACCAAACTTGCCATACCATACAGGAATTGGTGGTGTATTCTTCTTTATAAGCATAGTTTGTGCAATTCAACTCATTACTTGCATAATATCAGAATATGTGAGGTTGAAGGCTCCTAGTCTTCTTAGAGCATGTAAAGTAACCACACAGAAGTTGATCTACTTTGTAATCTGCATTGCCAGCTTGATTCGTGGAGCATACTTCATATTTCCTGTGAGTACATCTTTTCTTTCTCAAATGAAGAATACATATTAGGTCACAGAAAAAAAAACCTACATGAATCAATTCCTCATATCATGGTGAAATAAAACAGTGATATCAATTGAGATTCATTACAAATTGATTTCTCTTCTCAATAACTTTATTGAAATGAAGTTCTGAGGACTGTGGTTGAATAATCAAATACGAAATATACTAGGAATACCAGATAAGTCTTTGGAAAAACTATCATACCTACTTATTTCAGCAACTACCTAAGTTGCCATTCTCAGAAGAACTGAAGAATGAATAATGATTAGCTCACTAATAATTTTATTATTTAATAACATAGAATATACAATGTACCATATAATACAATACAATATACAATTAACTATCATGATAAGTAGCACACAATAAATTATTTCAATTTTTTTTATCATTTGTAATTCTAGATCAGTTCCAAATCCCCTAAATTGATGTTTACAGAACAAGGGTTTATAATGAAGGGTTTGCTTTTGCCAATTGTAATATTCATTTAGTTTTGCTTTTAATAATGAATAACTCTCTATTTTTTATTTCCATCCCATTCTTTTATTGCTCTAGAAATTGGGTTGTTCAATGCTACTGTAGTTCTTGTATCTTCAAGCACAATTTTCAATGTGAAGAAAGTTTTGAATAAGGTACATACCAAGTTGTAATGCATTTAAGCCATTTTTCATTTCTCCTGTCCTCTAGGTTAGCATAAAATTCAATTTGTTTTTCCTTTTGCTTCTGATGTCTGCATAATATGTCTGTAACAAATTCATCAACCTGAAGTTCTAGAGAAGAAACACACCAAATTGTAATACATTTTGATGAATATGAAATTTTTAAACTGTAGCTGGGATTTTAATTATGAACTTCACATAAACTATCAAAAGATATCTTGTTCAAAACATCCAGTAGATATTTGTTACCTTGGCAGTTCTCAAAATTCAAGAAAAATTATAATATCTGAGAAATTAAAATACCAGGGAAATTACAAATATTATACCTACTTACACCCTGAAGAACATTATAGATCTTGTTAGTGAAAACTAAAACTAACCAGAGGAGGAGTAATTTATTGTTCAATTTTTTTTTTATAATATTTAATTTACCTTTTTTTTCAGGAATCTTTTGAATATGGTTGGTCAAGTAGTCTGTTATCATCCTACTATCCACTACTCATGTCAAGTGCATCACTCATTGTGTGTTTCTGGGCAGAGGTGAGTAATTTTCACTTATTGACATCAATCATCAATATGGGGTGAGTCATAATAACTCTCACAAACCTAATGTGAATATTCTCAGAAATAGATTGAAACAATATTTAACTAAAAAATACTGCTATTTGCCTGGCGATTTTTTTATTTGATACTTCATTTTGTATCACTATGTATGTTTATATAGACCATTTATTTATTCATTCATTTATTTTCATTTTGTGATATTTTGTTCATATTGTTTTTGACATGTTTGTTCATTTATATACCAGCTGAGCTGAAATACTTTGGTCAATGGCTGTTTGGAGTATATCCCTAATAAAGATTCTCCCTCTCTCTCTCTCTCTCTATACTAGCTGTGAATATTTTTAATAACTTCCCACCCCTGCATCACCACCATTCATCATGACTTCATTGCAGGTATGTTCAGAGCACTTTCCTCTATCCCTTCTAAAATATTAGAATAACATGAATAACTGATGAAATGGAGTTCTAGTACTAGTTGAATCAATGCCATATATCTATTTCATTTTATTCCATTTTATATTTCATAAAATTATTCATTATTTAAAAATCTTCAGAACCACTCTTTTTCAATAATTGAAGTGAATTGAAGTAAAAATTCAACCAGTTAGGACGTTTTTCCATAGTTTTGAATGTCATCACAATGTCATCTAATGATCTTGGCGACTGCTAATACTGCATATCATGAACATGGACTAACATTCACTTTCTTAAACTTCAACGCCCTGTATCTCAGAAACCTCGGACCTACGTCCATAGGAACTAGTTTTCCTCTAAAGTGTCATACGGTAGTTAGGAAACACCCTGTATAATCTCAATATAATATATAATTACCATTAAACCTGGCAGGAATAATGACAAGGGATTAATAGTCATCCCTCAGTCCAATGAGGGCTGAAATTATTTTATTGTCCACCAAATTGCACTTATTATGATTTTTTTACCCACGGAAAATATAGTAAGTAGGCAGGAACACACGATATACAGCCTCAGTAAGTAGCTCTTTACATACAGTAAGCACATCGCATAATTTTCGTTTATTCCACCAGTATAGGTATGTCATGAACGCATAATCGCCGTCAACAGCGGATGACATAACTGTCAAGAATTATAATTCAGACTGTTTGTCCAAACTTTTTTGATGTACTATTCGCGAGATTCACGAAGTGGGCGACATCTAGGTTACATAATACGAACTTCAAACTGGGGGAAAACAAACTGTTGTCAATGGATAAAGTGCATCGACTACATTGCATACATCTTGCTGTAGCTGTAATTGTCAAACTTGTCGATGCCATATTGTGTTATCACTCTTATCAGTACACAGTACACAAGCTAATGGGATTGAGTGAGGATTGAGTTTGTTTTCCCCCAGTTTTGACGTGGCTTTGACATGGAACGATGAAAACCGAGCGCCACCTGGTAACATTGATTCCCGCGAATATGGCAGTAGGTAATAGAATCTAAATGCCGACTAATCTACATCCCAGCACGCCTCCAACTCAAACACAGACACCGATTACGCCTTCATCCCAAGTGTTGACTAGGCAGCACGAGCAATTCACGCCAAACAACAAAAATGTTGCGAACTTCAAAACAAAAGTTTCCTGCAGCCCAAATTGGTGATACCTGACGTCGACCGTGGTCGTACAGATCCCCGAAATGTGTTAGCCATTGTTGTTGGAATAGAGGATTCAGACTTTTATAAATTAGCAAACAAAAATGGCACCTTGAAGCAGCTTTTCACCCGTAATCAATTTGCAATTTGCAAAGAAAAGTTAATTTCCATGGATGAGATTTCAGCTCAAGAAATTTTGGTGAGAGAAGCAGCTTCTGCTAATTCAAAAAGCGGAGGGCAAGGCTATTCACGCTGTAACTGCAAAAATAAGTTTTCCACGTCTAAATGTAGCTGTAAAAACAAGAGCCTTTTGTGTAATTCTAAGTGTCATGGTAGCTTAAGTTGTTGCAATAAATAAGGTTGCCATACATTTACTTCGTTTTTTACATTTTAGTTTAAGAAATAAAATGCATTTTTTTTATATTAATATTACGTTTGTTGTGTTTGTCTTAAGTTCAACAACTTCTTTATGTTCATTTGCAAACTCCTTCCATGATTTAATCAAAATAAATAATAACCTATAGAGTTTCATTTTGTTTTCTTGAAAAAAAAAATCTTCCGAACATACACCATGAGTATATGATGAATGTTGACATTCGCCGGTGGAAGTTAGAAATAATGATATTTGATGAATATCGGACTTTCACGGTAACACATATACCCCTCACACATTTTTATGGAAGGGGCCCCAGATTTGTCTTGCGCCTAGGGCCTGCAGTGCAGCTACCTCAATCCGCCACGGAGTACATAATGATAGATTCTATAGCAAGTGGTGGAAAAAATATGTATCTCATTAATTTCTTTGAGGAAATTGATTATTTATTTCAGAACACAATGACCTCCACTATACCTTTTTCCTAGCATTAGCATTTTTCAGTAATAAGTGATGCCCAAAAGAGAGATAATTGTCAATACTACCATAATGTGAATCAAGGTAATAGTCAGTGCATAGGCAATAAAATTCGTATCATAGTTCCCATTGTTGAATCATTATTTAATCACTGTTCATAATATTGACTAATGGGTTAGGTGTGAAGTTCTCACCAGCAAATAATATTGATATCAGTTTTCAGACTTTCTTCATCAGATCAAGTAAGGATTAGTTAAGTTTTAAAAGTATTAGATTCAGTGATAGAAACCGTATCAGGAATATTATCATTATTCGTTTAGGCGGTGTTTAAACTAATTTCATTTTTTATTACCCTAGCTTTGAGGAATTTCACGAAATGGTGATAATGAAAATGAAAGACGTAAACACTATAAAATCAATAAGAATTGCGTTCTTTTTTATTGTCGCGAAAACAGTATTCTCTATATGCATTTTACCAACTCATTATTCTATTATTTAAGGTTATAAGTTAGTTCGGTTGAATACAATAAGTTGGTTTTATATTTTTCCAATGTAGGTACTAAATCTTGAGAAATGCACATCTATCCTTTTCCCAATTGGATTTCCCCAGGTAACTAGACTACCTCGTAAATTATGCAAGAATGGCTCGAAGAAAACTATCTAGATAATAGGTAAATATTTGCATTTATCGGTTGTATCATAATTATAAAAGTTTTTATTATGCCTACTCGTGATCTTGAATCTTCAGAAAAACGAATAAATTGAGTTCTTATCATTGATTCATTATATAAAGGGTGATCAAAATTTAGTGACTAAATTTCAAGTAATCAACAGAACGGTTCGTTACTAACTATAATACAAGTTTTCATTTTCTACGAAAATCTCAGATATTTCAATATCCTTGGTAGATTTGTAGGTATACTTGATATACACTATTGACAGAAAGAAGTTTGTTTTTGAGTAGGTACAGTCGTATTCAATATTAAAGCGTACAAGTATTAAAAAGAGAGGATTTCGGGATCCTAGTTCTAGTTGTGTAAAACTGGCTCAGCCAATGCTTTGTGTTTTCGAGAACCTATGACAACTTTACTGTCAACATTTGGTGAACAATCATTCCCGTTAGCCCGTCTTATGCAGAATAGGATGACGTTAATTTCTCTCTGACCAGATTCCAATACATTCCTCAATTCTCCAATTCATTATTCATTATCAAACTTTTGTCCTGGTTTGAAAATTATTTGATAGGATTCAAATTTACACTTTCTTTACAAAAATTTTATCAGAATATTTGTTCACCCCAATGAGAAACGTGTTTTAACATTGATCTCATTCGATGCCCTCGGTCCACAGTGATTATCAATAGGACGAAATTCATACATCAGATTGTTATGATTATTAAGCTTTTCGAAATTGTCTTGAAGATAGTAGATTTTTATTAATAGATACGTCAACAATGAAGTCATTCAGAAAAGTTGCTTGGAACCAAAAACTAGGTCCGTATTCTGTATCCTCACTTTTCGATATCTGTATCAGTTAGATGTTGATTCTACGACTTTTGCTACATAGAAAGCACTTCAGAGGTGTTTTTTTTTGTAATTTCCAAGGCATTCCTAGATTTTTCAAAATTGAAATCATGGTCGATATTAGTCTTTCATCAAGCTGTGCTGAACCCAAGAAATTAAAATATGAATCGAAATTTTTACATCTCTACACACTTTTTCTTTGTTTTAAAATTCATCGTCTCTATGCATATATATGAAAAAGCATCTTCAATTTTGCTTAATTTTTTTCGCCAGAAATGTATCAAAATATGTAGCTTCTTCGTTAAATGAACCTAACTTTCTGTCCAACTGCATTTGACTTTGTCTAAAAGTCAAGTTACTACTTTTCCGCCGAATACCTAGAAAAGCTAATGAAAAAATATCTTATCTAAAAAAATATCATTAGAATTCGAATCTATACCCATTTTCGCCATAGGTCTGAAGAATAAGATTACCATACTTGTGAGAGTTCAAATTTTCTCTGTATCAGTGACAAAATGAATTTATTTAGACCCGAATATCGTTCATCTCGAAATTTAAATCTAATGAAAAAATTTTATAATTCCATTATTTTTGACTGAGGAATCATCTGTAATATCATCCTGTTCATTTCGGAATATGAAAAGCTTCAAAATATGCAAATGCCCATACTCGTCGAAAAATCTAACTTCTATTCAACGGTGTTAAACGTTCTTAGTAGTTACTATTTGATTTTGATATTATATCTATGGAATTTGGATATTCATTCCAGGTGTTCCACTTGCCAGGCATTCGCTGGGATAAACCTCAGTTCCTGTCTAAATCTTTCCTCGCATTCATCACATTCAATGTGATCAGCTTCAGCCTCCTCATCGCTGAAACCATAACCACTCAACTTGCCAAACCGCCACCAGATGATCCTCGTTTCTATCATCACTTATTCAATGGATGCTATGCAGTTTTGATGTTCATCATTGTTGTTTTCTTTCTAATCTATGGAGTTGAAGTGTACTTCAAGGTAATTATTTTTTTATCAGACGAAACAGTTGTTTGCTGAGAATTTAATGATTTACTAGTTACTGTGTTGTTTAGGTTCGAGGAGGTTTCATCACCAAACCACTTCAACTAGCCAGCAACAATTTAGAAACACAACCTCTTCGAGATGAACCAGACCTCAGAAATAGGATTAACTTGTCTCAACTTCACCAGTCACGTATTGGTTTGTTGAGCCAAGCTCTGATGCTCATCATCATCTCTGGATTCCTGTTTTCTGAAACATTATCGGAATTTTGGAAAACAAAGGTAAGAATATTATCTTTTATGGAAATCTTATCTTTTCTGAAGTTGTTTACATTAACTTTGGATTTCAATCAATTAACGGCCGTGCCAATACAAATTATTATCTTTTCATTCACAAAGCCTACAAGTATGAATTTGTGTAGGTCATTACTATGACAAATCATAGACAGGAGTGTCGTTAGAATAGCATTTCATCTTAGAACAGATGCTCTCGAGATTTGGAAAGAGGGGACTGAAAATATCTGGAGGTTGTACTTTACAAAGATATCTTACGGCTCTTTTCAGCACTATGAAAATACTTTTGAAGAAGTTCTTGGAATATGTTTCCAAGAAACGTGTGAATGTCACAATACAATACATTTATTGTAATTGTAAAATACATCATTGGAAACTATCCTCATAGCATAACACCAGGAATTTTTGTTTTGCTCAAATTGATTATGTGTTTCTCACATGGTCGTTCTTCAAATTTGTGATCAATAGTTATTTTTGTATCTAGTGCGCGAAATGCTACTTTGGTGATCGAGAACTGATTTTTGTCGAGACGACCAAAGTATTTCGCGCACGAGTTGCAACAACAACAACATTTTTTCTACAAACATGAAAAAATCTTATTACCTCAATATAAAAACTAGTGTTGAACCGGCCCAAAAGGCATTAATTATTATTAGACATTCAGAAATAAATGATTTCTTGAATGTTTGCTCGATTTAGGACCATAGTTTTTTTTATTCTCTTATTTTTGGAGGTAAAGTAAGTATTATTGACGATCGATTGAAAAAATACCCTCTCATACTTCCCTATGCTATGATATTGAGTAGGTGGTTACAACTTACAAATTTTCTTCCAATACTGAGAACTAGCTCAAATTAAACAAAACATCTGACCAAAGATTATAAATTCAGCTCATTCGATGATTTAATAGAGAAAATCTCAGCATATCTGGCAGAATAACCCTCGCGATATCTTGTGGAACTAGCTCACCACATCTTGAAAATTTTGAAATTCGTCCCAGTGCTATATAGTCTGAGAATTCGTCCATCTCAGATCCCCATCAACTCTCGCAACTTCCACAACATCGTCTTCTGTGGCCGTCCTCTGGAACTGCTTGCAGCCTTCCGAGCTGAAGATCCTCAATTCCAGCATTCTACTCTCTCAGCTCTACCAGACGAGGAGAAATCTTGATTTATCAAATATATTAAATATATCTATAAAGAATATCCATTCCCTGGCAATTATTCCGCAGAGTTATCCTTACCATTCACGATTTCATTTTATCATCCGTGTTTGGCGTCTTGGTTTGTTGGCGTATACTTTTTAATTATTCATGAAGGACTCGCGGTGTCTATCCTTATTCAGTCTGAGAATTCCTCCATCTCAAGGGGTCTACTCTCGAACCGTTCTAATTCAATCCTTATACGAATACATAAAGATGGACTCACATATGTGATGTATGTTGAAGTGAAATAAAAAATCGAATTCGTATACGAATAACGCTCAAGAATAAACCCCCTGGTCCCTCCGAGCTGTGGATCTCCAATGCCAGCATGCTACTCTCCCAGCTCGACCAGACGAGGAGAAATCCTGGTTTATTAAATATATAAAATATATCTTTGAATAATATCAATTCTCTGGCAATGATTCCGCAGAGTTATCCCCACCATTCATGATTTCATTCATTTATAGCCGTTTTCCAATACCCACAGCGAGTAGCACATAGTAACTCCGAGCAGATCTTGAACTGATCAACAACGTTCCCATCACAAAGAGCTTGGAGCACTCCAACTGATCAATGCTACCTAACCCTTCCCCTCGAGCACCAGCTCTTACAACAACAAACGTATGATTCCCTGCGGTCCTCTGGAACTGCATGCAGCCCTCCGAGCTGTGGATCCTCAATCCCAGCAAGCTCTTGTCCCAGCTCGACCGGCCGAGGAGAAATCCCGATTTTTTTATGTATGAAATATATCTATAAAGAATTCTCTGACAATGGTTCCGCAGAGTTGTCTCCACCATTCATGATTTCATTCATTTATCCGTGTTTTGCGTTCGGGATTGTTGACATATACTTCTCAATGATACATGAATGAATCACGGTGTCTACCTATCGCTATTCAGTCTACGAATTCCTCCATAGGTGCCCATCAACTCTCGCAACCTCCACAACATCGTATTCCGTGTGGTGGAGATCGGCGTGGCCGTATGGTTCCCTGCGGTCCTCTGGAACTGCATGCAGCCCTCTGAGCTGTGGATCCTCAATCCCAGCAAGCTCTTATCCCAGCTCGACCGGCCGAGGAGATCTCCCGATTTTTTTTATGTATGAAATATATCTATAAAGAATTCTCTGGCAATGGTTCCGCAGAGTTATCTCCACCATTCTTGATTTCATTCATTTATCCGTGTTTTGCGTTCGGGAGTGTTGACGTATACTTCTCAATGATACATGAATGAATCACGGTGTCTACCTATCGCTATTCAGTCTACGAATTCCTCCATCCCAGGTGCCCATCAACTCTCGCAACCTCCACAACATCATATTCCGTGTGGTGGAGATCGGCGTGGCCGTATGGTTCCCTGCGGTCCTCTGGAACTGCATGCAGCCCTCCGAGCTGTGGATCCTCAATCCCAGCAAGCTCCTGTCCCAGCTCGAGCGGCCGAGGAGCGGCGAGGCGGCGGAGGGGGGCGTCAAGGTAGATAGCGACGACGAGGCGTTCCTGGACAAGCGGGAGTGCTGGATATGCTACGACGGGGACAAGAAGGAGCAGCTGATCCAGCCGTGCGACTGCACCGGGGACGTGTCCAGCGTGCACCACGAGTGTCTCAGAAGGTAAGTCAGTAGGGCATATACAAAAACGACAAAACAAAAGTTCTAGGTACAGGGTGATTCATTATAAATGTCCCCCCTCTAGCTATTTTTGAACCGATCTCGAAATTTGAAAATTCAGGTGAAATGATGCCGTTGAAATAAGTTTTTCATGTGCCGCTCTCAGCTTATGTTGTTAACAGGCATTGAAGAAGCCGAAAGTGTTTTAGTTCGATCTCTATAAGTGAAAAACGGCAAATCGATTGAATATTTCAACGGCCACCACGATGCTACGATCATTATTAGATACTCTGTACTATGTAACATTTTTAATCCCCATGTGGAGTACTGTTCGGCTTTTTTAGCCATATTCTAGAAATGTATTCCTTTGTAGGCTATTTTATTCTCGACTGATGATCGACACTCTTGATGTCCGAAATATGCCCCCTGATCCATTAGGTTAAACGTTCTGGGGATAATTTTGTTACTTCACAAATTGAACAATAACTCTAATGATATGATGGGCATATCAATACTAGCTCTAAACTACTTCTTTTTTTTTGTGCCAACTCTGTACATAATATCTTTGATTGACTAAGAACTAGTGTTGCACTGACACTGTTTCAGTTTTGCACTGATGCAATCCCAATAGGACTCACAATTTTGTATCAAATGTTGAAACGTCACATTAAATTAACCTTTCACCATATTTTTTGTGAACGATTTCTTTTCAGCAACCCTATATATTTGGAATATAATTTTTAATCACATATAATATAGCTACACACAAATTGATCAATCATTCCATAAAAATAAAAATAAAAATGTGCCTATCATTAGATATAGGCATGCTTCCATGAATGCTTTATATCTTGGGAATAGAACGATGGTTATTTAAAACTATCAGTTGAATTTTATGCGTATTGTTCCATGCGCCAAAAATGTCCGGGGACGAAAGGAAGGGGATGTATGCGTTCAGTCCTCTGAGCACTTTGGATTCCGTTCTTAAATTGACAGTTAGTTGATGATCCCAACATTTATATGTATTGTGCTCTAGACTCTCATTCTTATCGCTGATCATGTTTTAGGAGCCAGACCATTGTATCTCTCTGCATCATATGTTATCGAAACTACAACAAACCTTATTCACCTCTTCAGTGCATTTTTGGACATCTTTAACAAAATCATTCAGTTTTTAAACAGTTTTTTTTTTATGAATTGAAAGACTTTTTATGTCATTGCTACTGCAGGATAATGATGATAGCAACCATAAGTGGTTTTTTCAGAATTATTCGTTAATGAATCTGTCATTTTATCAATTTGACTCGATTTGACGATGCACTGACATTGCACTCGACTTGCACGACCTCCTAGAGCCCGGATGAAAATTGTTGCATAGGAAGACGGACTATCGTCCACCACCACCCCTTCTAGAATGTAGGCTACTGAACAGAGTTTAATGACAATTCGACTACTAGTATAATCGAATCATGAACTTAACTTGATTAATCGAAAACGGAATTTTGAATTATTATTTCACCCCCTCTCTTCTTTTTCTCTTCTCTTTTATTTCTTTATTCAGAAATATTATAACAATGCAAAATTCAAAAAAATGCAAGAATGGGAAATGTATCACCCGTTGCTGGTTTCTGGTATGTGCCATTCTGCCATCGGGCTTGGATCGATTCATAACACGGTTCTTCTTAGATCTAAAACATAGTTGGAATTGAATCTCGGATTTTGGATTAATTGAGAATTGAAATAATGAAAGTCACATGGAATGAGAATCTGAAATATATATAAAAAATGTTTTCAAATTCCGTTGTAAGGGTACCTACCTGTCTTGTCTCCAATGGGACATAAAGGTGACTATCGAAAAATGTTCTATGATATATCGCCTTCCATAACAAATGATATAAAATTTGGAAGAAATATTCAAAATGAATTGTAAATAATTCGTAAAAAGGAATGGAAAACTTATCACCGGTCGCAAGTTTCTGGTCTGGTTTCCTTTTCTGTACAATTTTTCCGTCGATTAATACCACGTCGCTTCTTCGATCTAAAACATAGTTGGTATTATATCTCGGATTTGAAATATATTGGAGTCGAAATCATGAAAGTTACATGGAATGAGAAGCTGAAAAATATATGATAACTCTTTTCAAATTATGTTGGTGAAACGCGACATATACTTCAATTAGTCAAAAAATGACCGGAACAGATAGCCAACAATTTTCTCCTAAATGAGAAACACTGTATATACCTAACCCATCAGGTACCTACCCCGGTTGCAACGAGGGTTTACCGATACCAAGGGTTGATACTCTCCCCTCGTAAGGGTACCTGTCGTGTCTCCATTGAGACATAAAGGTGACTATAAAAAAAATGTTCTACGATATATCGCCTTCCATAACAAATATAAACATTTGAAGAAATATTGGAAATGAAGAAGGAATGGAAAACTTATCACCGGTCGCTGGTTTCTGGTCTGGTTTCTTCTTCTGTACACATTTTCCGTCGATTCATACATAATACGTCGCATCTTCGATCTAAAACATAGTTGGTAATATATCTCGAATTTGAACTATATTGAGAATTCAAATCTTGAAACTTACATTGAATAAGAAACTGAAATATATAAAAACTATTCCAAATTCCGTTGTTGAAACGTGACATATTCTTCTATTACTCTAAAAATAAAGGAACACATAGCCAACAATTTTCTCCTAAATGAGAAACACTGCATATACCTAACCAATCAGGCACCTACCTTGATTGCAACGAGGGTTTACCGACGTCAAGGGTTGATACTCTTTCATCGTAAGGGTACCTGTCGAATCTCCATTGAGACATAAAGGTGACTATGTTTTCTGAAGAGGACTGTATATTGCACTGACATTTTATATTTTATATTTTCTTTCCACAATTTTTTTCACGTCTCTTATTTTTGCCTGAACTCACATTGTTATGATACTGTAATGTTTCGATGAAAAATAAATGATTGATTGATTGATTAGAAGTGACTATCGAAAAATGTTCCATGATATATTGCTTTCCATAATATATAGTGAATTTTGAAGAAATATTCGAAATAAACTGAATATAATAATTATGAAACAGGAATGGGGAACTTATCACCGGTCGCTGGTATCTTGTCTGGTTTTCTCTGCTATGCAATTTTTTTGTTGGGCTGAAACGGTTTATTTATCACACGGATTTTCTTCGATTTACAACATAGTTATTATTAAATTTCGAATGTGTTGAATATGAAGATGAAAAATACCCTTTTTTATATTAACTTCCATGATAATAATAACAATAACAATAAAAATTGAACTACAATGTTCAAAAGACTATCAACCGATGTCCTTCTGCCAACAACTTCCATAAGGAAAATAAATTTTAAAGGAATGTTCAAAATAAATTGAATATTTCTGTAAGTAAGTGATACAATGAATATGAAAAGAAACATAATGATGATATATGATATAGGAAAACGTAAAGAAACTCACCATTGTGGAGGATACAAATTCTTCTCTCATCCTGAATTACTTTTCGTGAACAGTCTTGCAACAAAATAATTAAAATATTATCGATATATTCATACTAGACCGAGTAGAAGACAATATGAGTTTTTTCAAACGTTGATATTTCGAAAACTAGTGTATTGAATAATTGAGAATTAAAAGATTTCGAAAATGGATGGCGCAGAGCCATAATCTCCTATTTGAGCCCTCAAAATTTCCTTGTGATATACCAAGGTGGTTCAAAAATTAGAAGGGGGGTATGTACTTCAGAAGGGCACAGTATGAGGGATAGATCGAATTGTATCACACTGTATACATAGCCACAAAAAACTGAAATTCAGCAAAATAATAGTTTTTTCACAACGACATTATCGCAATATGAATATCATTGAAATTAGTGTTCATATGTCCTAAATGTAAACTGAAAATAAAAATGCTATCAGAGCCACCAATAGAATCAACCGTACACAACGAAATCTAATATGCGACTGACGAATGGCTGGCTTGATTCATTATTCTGATGACTAATTAGTTACGTCATGCTTCTAACCGATTAAGTCCCGAACAATAAAATTTTATCTATGACAGGAGATGATATGGAAAAATAGTTTTACAGGGGGTGACAAGGAATTTCGGAAGTTTTTAGAAAATATCTCTCCTGTTGAACCTCTACAGGGTGATCCACGGTGGATGGCCTATTAGAAGTATCTGGAGAACGAAGAGACAGAACATTCTGAAAATTGGAATGCTTTGATAATTGAACATTCTCTATCCGTCTAAAATATTTCCATCGATACAGTGTTGCCACTTCTATCAGAAACAACTAGCAACTTTGTTATTTCGAATGAAACACCCTCGCTCATTTCGTTATGTAAACGGGTGTTCAGCGATTATGTTTTATACAGGATGGGACGATTTTTTTCCGCTTAATGAAGGCATTTTTGAGAGAGGAGACAAATTTGACATGTTGCTTCCACCGTTTGATTCCAAAGAGTATGCTTTATTTTATAATCAATATCTTGTACCGTTCTAGAGAAAATAGCTTTTAAAAAAAATACATCTCAATCATTTCAAAGGTAGCAAAAACTCTATTTACGCAATAACATCATGGTAGTTGCAGTCATTGTCATAATTGACGTCAAGTTATTTTGACAGTATTTAATACTGCAGTAACACCATGTATGAGTTTAGTAATGATGAGTATGCATATACTACATTACTCCGTAACGAAGTGCGACAGAATTTTTTTATATGAAGTACTAACATTATTTTGGCTCACTCTATTAGCCCTATCATTTACGATATGACCTTTCCAGACACCCTGTATATATTGATCGAATTTGAAAGAATGCCCGAATGAAAATAAAATTCGACGGCTTCGCATGTTCTTTCAATTATTCCTATAATATTCAACGAATTCATCCACTACTTTACGATTGCACTTAATTCAACGGACGCACTGTATACAAAGCCTATAAATTTTTGAATTCAGCTTTT